GAGGGATTTTTAGTTTTACGAGTAAAATTAGTCAGTTATCTCGTCTATGAGCACGTTTTAACATGACAAAGACAGAGGTTATTCTATGTTCATATTCATGAATAAAAAATATTTAATCCGTTTTGTCTGAAAACCACTGCTTAAAACCTTGCAAAACCGAAGTTTGAAACTTAATACTTGTACCCAGTTACAGTATGAAACGTTAGCCAAAATAATGAGGGTTTGGTTTGATTTTATTTTGCCCACATTCATGGAACAATAAATTGTCTAATTAAAATGCTCAAACCCACAAAACGTAATCTATTGGTCACAATACTCCAAGCCATTGGAAATAAAGGATTGGATTACGTTTAACATCTTTAAGTTACTTCCAGACCAGTGTAACACCCAACGGTTTCCCCTTTTCTTGGCACCTTTCTTAATGTTCACATAGGGGGTCTAGCCTCGGAGACCTCAAACAAAAGCATCGAAGATGATCGTCAGTGGCGTAGCCACGGGGGGGGGGCCTTGGGGGCACGTGCCCCCCCCCCCCCACACACACACACACACAAATTCCTGGTGCAAGTTACTACCCGTCAGTCCACGGCTATGTTCGCCTGTTCAACAGCTATTTTGTCTTGGCACACGCATGGGAAACCCCAAAGTCGTGAACACAAACTGCCTCAAGTAGGGTAGATAGCAAAACGAAACAGACAAGCAAGGAAAATTATCCAATATTGCGCTCTAAATGTTACTCTAATATGAATGAAAAATTAAAAATTGCCTTTTATAATTAATTTATAAATTAATTAATTTTCATTATTGATGGTCAGCGTTCGACATTATCCACGGGGGACCCAATTTCAGTCAGATTCCCCGACGTACTGTATTCATTTTAAATTTAAAGAATTTTTAAAGAATTTTAAAACGTTAAATTCATTGAGCCAGACTTTTCTCTGCGATTTCATTCTGAACCCTCAAATCGCCTGGAAGCATTTCACGTTCAGGAATGCGAGTGATACTGGATAACCCGCGAGAACAGTTTGGAAACGCACATGCCTTCGATGTTTCTCAACATTCTTGCCTTGATCGCCATTTAATGAAGATTAACGGTTCTGCGTATACGAAATCGCAGACAGAAATACACAGATTCGAAAACGCACGCACCTCAGCTCCACAGACATGGTACGCTTCCTGAAATTGTCCGTCATGTTACGTCACGTGAAAAACCTTTATAGGTCCAAGTGCTTGTGGGCATAAAGTTCACTTATAAAATCAAATAAGTACATGGCACCTCAATGAATAAAAAAGGCAACCCCTTCCTTCAGGAGAAGTGAAACACTACACCGTGGCTATTTTAAGCTGTTAGCTGTAAAGGAAATTGATTTACGGGATAGAAAATGGCCATGTTATGCACTTATAACACATCATCTTGGACTCCAAAGGAGAACAGTTCCTTAAAGTTCGGTTATCATGGCAACCCTGATAAAATGAAATAAATAAGTATGTAATTCAGGCACATTCCTACCTGTAACATGCAATGGTACGTCCCTCGGTCGGCTCTGTGTTTACCACGCGCATGAAATTGAACAACGTAGACAGGTACTCGGGGGCTCCAAGTACAGCCAAGCGTTGAAATGAAACTGGATCACCAGACGATTACCCTCCGCACTAAAAAAGGTGATTGAAAAATAAATACCTTGTGATATGTGAGCGTGACAATGTTAGAGAGAGAAACTGAGTTTAGGAAATCAAATGCTCTCTAAGCTGAAACAAATATCGAGTGGATACAAAGTGAAGTTGGAGCCCTTTACATAATACTGTTTAAAAACAACAGTGAGAGATACTGTCACAATGTATATTTTTTGGACATACTTGGCCAAACATGAGTTAACATGCTTCTTGGGATTTAAAGTAGTTTATTTTACAATTTAAACTGTCCCGGACAGTTATATTCAGTGTTCAAACAGATGTCATCATTGTTCAAATGTTCGCATTGTTTACACTCAATGTACCCTTCTACATTGTTGTTTTAACTCTTTAAAAGTTACGAGTTGGATTCTGTGGAGGATTCTAGCACTAATTATTCATAGATTCCACCAATCACAGTTAAGACTTTTAACCAATCACAGTCAAGAGTGTACGCCAATCACAGCCAAGTGTTTTGGCCACTAGGGCAAAGGGTCAAGGCACTAATTGTATTTAATGCCAGTTTAGGAGGGAATTCACGTTGCGTGGGACCGGTCATTCTGTCCAAGGAAATTTTGCAAGCTGGTTCAATTTGTCCACCACCACCCCAGCTCCTGCCTTGTCTTACAGGGTTCAATAATTAGGAAGTGACGTTTTCTAACAGGATTCAGAGACAACATAGACGAGTTGACATGTATCATTAGTGTTATGGTTATGGTGGATATTGTTGCTCGTATAGACCTGTAATGACACTGTCAGGGGTCAGCAACTCCCTCTTAGGTACCCATGGGGGTCGGGTGTGCTGTATGTTTCATAGCAAACCATGGTTGTACCCCAGAATGATTGCTCCTGGGCCTGGGTGCCCACTGAGTTTAATTATTGGCCTGGGTGCGAAATGGAAATTGAGGTACATGGGACCTGGGCGTCCACTGACTGTGTGGTTGATAGGTTATCTGTTTGGGGCCAATTAGCCCGTATTTCTGATGCCAGCTTGCCCAAAAAAATTCAGTATCAGGCAAATAAGTTCCAATAAATGATTGAAGCTGTGGTAAGAAACAGATAAGACTGTGTCTTGGGTTTCACACATTTTTTAAAGAGTCCAAATTTAATTAATAAATACCCAACTGTGATGAGCAGTTTCAGCATCTCAGGCTATTTGCGCCAATAACTGTACGTCTATTCATACACTTTATTAATCAGCATCACATTACGGAGTTAGGAAGAAGGTCCAGTTTTAGAGGCAGGAGGAAACCGGAGTACCCGGATAAAACCTGCGAGAGCGAGTATGGACTGGAAACCAAATGCACTTAAAGCCTGGGCCAAGCCAGGACTCGAACCCGGGCCTCATTGGTGCAAAGCGAGGAAAGAACCAGTATGCTAACCCGCTCCCCGGGCCCCTACGTGTGTTTGTTTTGTCCACGATAGGCCTTTTATGGACGCGCTACGCTCCAAGGGTTACGGATACTAGGGCACCTACTGCAGTCTCGCTTTTTACAACCACCGGGCCGCATTCTTGGGCCAAAGAAACTAAATGAAGTTATTCACTACAACATCTCTGAAAGCATACACTAACAGGAGTGTATCAAGATTATTGAATGACCTAGCGACCATGCGAGTCCCGAAAAACCTAAACTAACTCGTTTATATGGGGTGCATACACTCAATTTTAACATTAAATCTTTTTTTTTAAATTTACTTTTATTGTATCTATGTATGGAAGATTTTAGTTGTACATGTAACTGTGAATTTGAATTGTGTCGGTCTTAGGGCCGTTTCATTCAAAATTGTTGTGCGAATAAACAAACCATTAGTACTAAGAATAGCAGATGTAATAAACAACAGCAACAATGGATGCTTAAAATTTTAATAATTTGTTCATAAATGGCCTTTGTCAATCGAAGGTGAAACGTACAAGTGATTTCTAACAGACCTAGGAGTATCACGCACCCAAATAGCCTAACTTGCTCAAAGAGGACCTTAAAGCAGTTCTTTTAATAAACAAACAATTTTAACAAAGTGCCTTTGTGGGGACATATGTTCCATACTTTCTTTTCTATTCTCCATGTCAAGCTGTCTTTTATCAGGTTATTATTTTTGTGAAAGACGTCTCTCGATTTCGACCTGTGTCTGTGCATGGCACAATGGAATATTTGGAGATGACTTTTCATGATGCACGAAATACACTTTTCGAAACGTCAAATATGTTGGGCTAAACAATTTCATAAGGCCAAGTTATTCCCATTGTCAAAGATTGCGTCTCATGAATATACCACTGTTGCTCATAACGTCACTGACTGGCATTGGGTGACATTGAGTTATACTCGAGCTGATCTAAATTGTGCGCAGTTTAGAGAACTGGGTTATTTTCGTTTCAACGAACATTTGGAACGCCACCTTTATCTTCGGTGGCTTATATTGTTCGTTTCAACAATTTCATCATTCAATTTGACAAATTCAGCATTCACTTTGACATTCCAACATTCTGTTTGGCGATTTACCATTCCATTTGGCAATTTCATCATTCCATTCATTCCCTAAATAAAGTTCTTTAGGTACAGTTCCTGCACAATAAAACCTGCAATATGCTCATTTGATTCTTTTTTCAAATAGAATAATTCACAAAAGTTCAATTCTAAACGAGTATGGTCATAACTGAACATTCAAATTGAAGGGTGTCCACCATCTAAATTAAAAAATCAAAGAACATGTAAAGGGCATTTTAAAATAGAAGTTCATAAATGTACAACGGTATGGGTAATTCCAGAAATTAAGGGTCCATTTTTTCCTGTCCCTGTCACATCTGACATTTGATTTTATAAGTTCAGAACCCGTTTTCTAATTTCCAAGAGTGATGAATTAATGCAAATTACCTGCCAAACAAATAGTAATACTTTCAAATCAATTCTGGTGATATTTCCGTGTCAACTAACAAAGGTCAGATATAACAGAGACACGAAAATGTCACATGTTTGGAACCCTAATTTCTGGAATTACCTATATACAAAACGACAGGGTCACGCGACCCCATAATAACTGTAACAAAGAAGAGATTCTTCGAAGTAGTCAGAAAAGGAATCCTTTATCTAATGAGATTTTTGCTATATAAGGATGACCTCATCCTATGAAAGGAACATTAAGTAATCTTTCTGCGAACTTATTTCCACAAACGTGTAGGCGGACCACTGGTTAACATCGTAAGCCTTAGGAAATTATTCACTACCGTTAAACAAACTACACTTCCTGTTGACTTTAAAACACATAGTATAGTAACTAGTTCCAGCGTCGTTTTGGTCGGTCGGTCGGTTGGTTGGTACGTTTTTCCATCAATATTTCTAAAGGTTGGCATAGATGACATTGGAATCCAGATATGACTGGAATACCTCGTAGCACAGAGCATAGTTCTCCTGTAGAAAGACAAGTATAGGTCAAAATATCAATAACGAGACACCATTCCAAAAAGATGTTCCAAGTTATTGAAACTTGGAACACACCTTTATACTTGTCTACATTTGAGAAGTTTCGGTGCTGCTTTGTCTACAGAATAACATGATATGTGTATTTAATATAAAAACAGCTTCGTTATATATGAGTCACTGAACAGATGGATTCTTATCAGCAATATACTGTGCATGTTCCGGCGCAGTTCCAGGGCCATTTTTTAGGGTAGCTACACCTGTCGCACGTGACGTCACCTTTTAACTTTCGCCGCTGCTTTTCCATATCTGCATTGAGGAGAGCTTGACAAAAGTCTAGCCCCGTTGAACCGCGCTTGTGC